GTAGAAGCTGAGTTATAATGACTTAATGGCTGTGTACAGGAATGAGTTGTTACACAGAGCTCACTGTGTGAGGGAGGTTGTGTTCTGTAAGGATATAATGAGATGCAATGGTCAGATACTACTCGTTTTCCTTTCAGCTAAACATTTTTTTCCTAATCACTTTATTCTGATTTACGTAAGTTTTAGCTTTAAGAATCACTGGTTATTGCTGAATGCAAATAAGCACAGAATAAAATTATATTAGGTTTGCACAACTGATCTTTCATAATTTTAAATGTTGACTTTTAAAATTTCCTGTAAAATCAGTTTGAAATACTCCCATCATTGACTGGCATCAAGTAGAGCAGGGTCACTTTGGGAAAACCCATTCTCAGTGATGTAAATTATAGGGTTATTATATGTATCCTAGAACAAGAGAGAGCAGAAGTTTTATTCAGAACAGATGTAAGAAAGCCCATAAAATCAGATGCATTACCCTCTGTCTTTTCTAAGCTACAAACTAAAACTAGTTTTCATCAAATTGCACTGACCCTATTAACTTAATTTTCCATGAAGTGACCTTTTATGACTAACAATGGAAAAGCAAAACTGTGCAAATATCCATGAAGACAGTGAAATGACTTATTTTAATGAGAAGACTAAAATATCTTTCCTGCATTAGCATCTGCTTATTGTCACTGCTCCTTAACCCCTTGGTACTGGCAGTCACCACACGTCTCCTTGCCAGGAGTAGATGTATGCCAGGAAAGCCTTACTGCTGGCATCAGAAAGATAATTTCTGGAGTTCAAAAGATGATATAACACTGGTATGTAATTTCAAATAGTAAAACAGATATCAAGTACAAAGGTAATAGGAATGCACTAAGGCTCCTACTCTTTACAGCCGGCATGAAAAAACTAAATTACAAATGCCAAGGTGACTTGTTTATTTATATCTTGTACAATATCTTATGCCATCCAGATGGGCTCCTCAGAAATCTTCTGCAGATTTCATAGAGGTTCCGTCAATCTGAGCTAAAGACATAAGTCCACACTGTTTTCTCCAGATGTTATCACCATTTCATCAGGGTTTAGCAGGAGTTTTTACACATTAAAACTGCCTTGTAAGCTCTGGTACCAATACAGGGGCTGTACTTCTTCAACAACCACCTAAAGCAATAACATAAGGCACATTAGTAATGATCACTTGGTCTCCAAATGTTCTGAAGCAATAATTTACATGAATATTGATGGTCTCAATGATCAGATCTTTCAGATCTCCAGTAACCTATTCTTTAAGGATTAAGGCAAACCAAAGTGATACAGGGATGTCATTTCCCATGTTAATAATGGTTTTGCAATAAGAATTGACTACTGAAAATATGAAAGAAAAAAGGGTTAATAATAAATCTGTTACATTTTAACACTTGAAGCAACCTCACTGCACATTTTCTCTGTTATGAGATGCAAATATTTTCTCTCAAGTGCATGCTGACTACGGTTACAAGACCCCAGAGTTGGCAAAAATGCTCAGCACACAAAATCTTCCAACCAGGCACATAAAATGAAATGAGGATGCAAATTTTCAGAATAGATCAGTGGACAGCAACTCCCCAGGAAAAACATAATTCTGATCAGTGCTGGTCACATGAAAATATAATCCTTTCATTTAAATGCCTGAATGGCAGCCTGACTGAGTGTGCAAGATACAAGCGTGTTAGAAAAAGCCTGACGCTAGAGAGCCTTACAGGTAGATTTGTTCTAATGGAAGTATTTTTCTCCTTGAGAACTGTGTCTTTTAAAAACTTCAGTGCTACACTCAGCAAGGTAACTAAACAGATCTTTTATGTTTTGAGCTTGGTTAGCTTGATTAGCAGTTTCCTCTAGAATGTTCCACTCTTCATCACTGTGCCAGTATCAGGACAAAGACGCTGTCAGTGTATTCAACATTTTGCAATGGTGTGAATTCAACATTTCACTCATTAGATCTATATGATACTTAAGGCTTTTCATTGGGTTCTACTAGATTTTAGATGGAGTCTGAGGCAGCGTTCTCTTTAGCCACCAACCTGAATGGTTTGACAATAGTCTATCCAAGAAACCATCTCTTACACTTTTACACTGCCGCTACTGCAGTCTGCTCAGTCCTTCTAACTGCAAGAAGGATTAGCTCACCTCTCTAAAAGCTCATGACTTCTAACCTTTCTTGTCCCCTCTTGCTAAGACAGAGATCAACTTTAATTTCCTGGATGTATTGTTAAACCTGGCCAGTACTGGGGATGTATTTCTAGAGGCTTAAAAGGAATTCACCTTCTGTACAGATTTAGCAGTGGCTGACATGAATATATTTCCTAAAGGACTATTTTTATGCTGCTGAGAGGTCACTGTAAGTTTAAATATCAGGATCCTTTAAGCTCTTAAAATAGGAATTTTTAATTTTGCTTATATCCAAACAAAACTGTATTGCTTTTAAACCTTCAGAAAACACTAGATATTGAAATACACATCATAAGCTCTGGTTCGGAGAGTATCAATTAGCTTGCTCTTTTACTTGAACTATCTGGTTTAGTGCAGTAATTGGAAAAGGCCAACAGTGGCCTTGAATTATTATTTTTTAACCTAAGAGGCTCCAGACAGGAATAGGTCTCTCTCACACTGGTGGAATGTAGAAATCAGTCAGTCTTTGCTTCAGAGACTTTGGCTAAATATACCAAAGTGTTTAACAACCTCAGAAACCTGAATAAAATTTTTGTGGGTCCTTAGACTACCACATATGCTTTTAAGACATAGGTGCTTGTGAAATATCTATCTCAAGGCCTTGCTGTATTGAAACACAGAACTGAGAAATGTCTACACAACTAAAAAACACAGCAAAAAGTAGGAGGAGGAAGACTAAATTGCAAAGGTTAATAAAATGTATGCTTAGGAGGTTATGTATGGTTTAGATCATTATTCTTAACAGGTTCTGAACCAGAGGTTTTGTTTAATCCAAAGCGGGAAATTTGTTCTATATTTCTATTATATATTCCTTGGTATTTTCAGGTTCAGGTTACTGTGTATTGATGTTTGAAAATGCCAACACAGAATGCCATACTACCTTCTTCTTAAAAGGACACTATTAGACTTCAATTTAACCCAACTTCAAATGACTGATCTTAGGGATTCCTGCCAAATAGCTTTTTTAAGACAACATTTACTGCAGCAATCAATTATGAACCCCGGATTTAGACAGTGCCTTCTCCTAATCAAACAGGTGCATACACATCCCTTAGCACAGCAAGACTCAATAAGATTGTTTACAAAGTAATTCACAATAAATCTCACATGTAGTTTGCTTTTCCTTCTGAATGCAGCACCAGAAAAACACATTTAATTCTGACGAGATGTGTGCCTGTGCCTGAGAATGCACCCATGCAAAAGAGAAAGGAATATACTGGAACTTACATTTTGAAAAACGAATTCTTGCAATTTGCAATCACAATTAGCAGCAAATACACTGTGTTACTCCAGCTTTTGAATGGGGTTCTATTTGTCTTCAGTGGGATTAGGTGTGTGTGTTAACTCCTTGCTGATGAGACTACAAGGTTTGCTACGTAAGATTAAATTGGGAAAAAAGAGATCCTTTGCTGCTATGGGATCCTGTCCTCCCATATTCAACCCCTACTAAGAAGACACTAGCATTTCTCATCCTAATTCTCAGATTATAAATTATATAGTACAATTTATAACATTTTAGTGCAACCAGCTATCATTTATTTTTTACATCTCAATTAAACACCTATATTGGAAAAGATTTATGCCTTTTGTTGGAAAATGTAGAGAAATAGAGCTTCATGCCTGAAAAATGTGAATGTCTAGTGAAAATTCCAGGTTGTCTCATGCCTTCCAGAGTAGGCTGACTTAGTTTCTCTGGGTGTATCTCTAAGTCTGGTAGAAGCAGAAATACAGAAGAAGACATTCTTCTGAGGAAGTATGTACATAAAGATTTTGTGGAGATAACCCAAAAACTTTGGGATTGCAGATATTAAGGAGCAGTTTTTCAGTAGAAAGTGAAGGATGGTCCTTTTCTCCTTTCTATCATCTCTTCCCCTTCATGCTGAAGTGAGGTATAACATCAGATTCTCACAGACTCAATATCCCCCTGTCTACAACTTCTGACTTCTTCTGCACTCACACCTAATGTTTAGCAGCTCACTTACTCTGCTCAGGGCGCCTTCTAGGGTAAAAACAATTGTACAAAAATACTTTTAAAACTTGGTGTAAGCTTTAAGCTAAAACCTGACACATCTTAGGAACAATACATCTACAACATCACTGCTTGAAAAGACCCTACCTCCACCAAGATAGAAACAGAATGGTTTTAAAGGTTTTCAAATGTCCTACATCTTAGGTGTGAAATTGGTAGTGAATCAGTTGGTGTGAATGATTTTATTTGAAAGGACATTGCTTTAAGCTTTCTAATTCTTCACATGCTCTTTGCAAAAATGTTTATATAGAAGATGATGGCCTTTCCATGCTATGCAGTTACAATTGCTTCAACAGATCACTGCACAGGAGAAGTGAACTCCTGCCTAATGAAAGCTGGCCTACTTGGAGTTCTGCCAATGCCCTTTCGTTAAATGTAAAGTTCATAATATTAATCAGGCAACTGCTTATACTGGGGATTCTGAAATTACAGCTGAGTTTTGTCAAAATGTTAGCTTTCCTTACCAAGTGCATTCAGAATGTCTGCTTGCTATCTCCCACTCTGACAACTAAATAAAAAAGCCCATTCAGTAGGCAGCTTGCTGAGGTTTTACAGTGCCTGCAGCCCCAGCTGAAGGAATATCAGTACAAGAAAGAAAACCACAACGACTCAGCCAAATTTAAATTCAACACACCACAAAAAGCATTCCGAGGGAAAGACAAGCTGTGCCAGTGAAAGTGGGCCATGTATTGTAAATTTTGGTGGCAAAGAAAAAGCTTCAATTCAAGCCTCTCTGGGATACTGGCTCATGTATCTGGCATACTCTGCAGGGAACATCCTAGTACAGATAAGGCTAACCTGAAGAGTATTTTCTAAGAAATCCTATCCTTTGTAACCTTCCATCATTGCAATCTTCAAGCCAGGAGAAAAAAGGAATTGCCAAGGCAAATACTGTCTTAGAAGTATATAAAGATATATATATATATATCATCTTGGAGATGCAGAAGAGTAGGAAGCAGAATTGAGAAGTCATGAAGTTCATTCAAATATACTTTTCTTTCTTTCTCCTTGGAACATTATCCTCCCAGTGTACAAGAGATCTCAGCCAGCTTCTTTGATTCTCCCATCATTTCAGCTTCAGTAGCTTTTATTCTTCATAATTCTCTTAATTTCTTCTTTCTTCCATTCCCTCTGTTCTGTAGGAACAACTGCCCTTTCCTGTTTTTTCCTAGTGGGTGACCTTAAGCTCTTCCCCAGTCCACACCAATGGAATTGAAATAAATTAATCAGAAGTTTAACAAATTTTATATCTGACTTCTAGCAATCTGACCAGTTTATTTATGTGCTGTATCCCTTTACACATACACACTGCCTGCTGAGACTGTGAAAACTCTTCTTTTCAGAGTTTCTGTTTGCCAGAGAACTAAGCATAGCTCCTATCAGTGTGAAGAATCCTCTCTAATTTGCTAAAGAAAAATGTCTGGGAAAAGTATGTCCCTCAGTGCAAACTAGTCAATGTGAAGTTCAGCACATTGGAGTATACTGATAAGCTATCTAAACGCACTTGGCAAGTAAGATAACTTGTCTATTGTAAGCCATCCAAAAATATTCTCATGGCTAGGATCCCTGTAAGTATAAACATTCTGATGAAGCAAAATGATTTAGAGTTACAATTAAAAAAACTGGAGTAAGCAAAAAGATACATAGGAAACATAATAATAATCCTATCCCAGAAGATTGTGCTATCCGAGGGGATCTAGAATATTAATTAGTAAGTTGTTGAAAACCTATAAAAAATCATCCCATAATTACTCTGAAAAAAGTTGCAATTTCAAAGCTACACTGCAGAATAGCATACTGGATTAATTATGCCAGACTGCAGCAATAACCTTGAATTAAAGCTGCAACCTTCTATTTTTAAGAAACAATTGCGTTTCTGGTTGATGAAACCTGTCGTCCCATCAGGTAACAGACGTGACCAGGAAAGAGAAAAGCAATAATGAGTCAATCCAAGCTGTTTGATACATTTCAAATCTTCCTCCCACAGAGTGTAGCTGCCACAAGCTACATCACCAGTCTGGTTCTTGAAAACTCGATCTCCTCCCTGATGGGTGAATATGTCCCAGACATTAAGGCCCTTTCCATCTGCATTCCAGCCTTCTGCCTGAAAAACAAAACTTGGTCATTACACTTTTGACATCAAAAGACATATGTTGCAAGTAAATAATTTATCACAAAGTAGGTGCAAATCCCTGAAAATCCCATGGGCAAATTGAGCAGTATTCTCTACCCACTCCTTATATTATTTTAAGTAACTAGGAACTTTTGAGCATTAGTATACATTTGCATTAGTTTTCGCATTTATTCACATTTTTACTTGCTGCTAATTATTTGAAAATTCTGTTTAAAAAAGCATTCAGACTTCTAACACTCTTCATACTTCCTTAGCCAAAAAATCAGATGTTTGCCACTCTTGAGATACTACAGGTTTTCACAGAGGGCATTTTCTAATGCAACTTCCATCCATAAATGTAAAAGATCAGTCCATATCAAAGAAAGCCTTTAGGGTATGAGAAATACATCCAGCAAATAGGCACTTATGGCTTTCAGGATACCCTTTGAAAATCTTGACAGTTTGTTAAAAAGAAAGGAATGCCATTATGAGCCATGGCCCTAGGCATATACAAACTGAATTAATAACACAGCTCTACAAAACTTCTGCTTTTTGTTTAGCCAGACATTCACAGAAATTAATTTTGAATGTTCAAAAGCACTGCACCATTTCCCCCAAACTTGCAGAGTTCTAGAATAGTTCTTCACAATTCTAAAATTGAGATACACAGATTACCATTAAAATATTCAAAATTTAGCTGTTGTCTGAGACCGAACAACATATAATATTTGATTTGAATAAATGCACCTCTCTTCATTACAAGTTTCTTTGTCTTTCCTGAGCCATTCTATAGCTGAGGCAAACATTACATTTTTTTTCTGTGGAGAGCTCTGTAAACTTACTTCTCTCTGTAAACCCCTGTAAAGTGTGGTTTAATCATAAAATTGCAATTAACCTCAAAATGGCCAACCTCATTTACCACCACGATTTTTCAGAGTCCTAGTGAACACACTGTTCCAGCGTTATTCTTTAAAAACTAAAATGACATTGTGTGTTAAAATTATGTATGAATTAAATATCAGTTGGGTTATAAGATTAATAACTATATAATAGCTACATATCAATCCTCAATAAAAGTGTTTTAATAATCAATTAGTATCATAGAAATTAGAGATGGAGGAGAACTATTAGGAGGTCATTGAGTCCATCCCCTGCCAATGCAAGATTGCTCCCTTAAGTATATTCGGTACTTAATATACATCTGTCTTATTAAATCTAAGTTTAATGCAAGGTTAAGCATATTGAAGACACTTAATTTAAAGCATTACTAAAATCTGTAATATCACTTCTATAACCTAGCTTTTCAGAGATCATTGTCACATTTCATGGTCTTTACAGAATTTTATTGCAGCACACGAACACCCATACATCTACATTTGGTTGGTCAGTAAATTAAATTTTACATGGGACAACCTTCAAAGTAGGTCAAATTTTAGAACAAGACAGTTTGAGTTTTTCTCAATCTCATATTTTATGACAGATTTGGTGGTCTGTCTGTATGCTCCTCAGAAAAATACAATACTACAAGTTTTCTATATCCTGCTTCAAATTTCAAACATGTCTGCTGAAATAAATAGTCATCTGAGAGAAGTGCAGAAAATAACAAATAGCAGTAATTCTTTGATGCCACCTAGGATTTTAAAGCCTTTAAGAGTAGGCTTCCTGCACGGTATTGATTCGGTACAGCTCTCTTTTCAGTACCATTGGAATGAAGGGACACAAAAGCTGCCATAACAGGCAGTTAACACACCTTTGGTTAAGAATCGGCATCCAGAGCAGAGGCTGAATGATCCCTCTTTTTTGTCTGCCTTCCTCCAGCAAAGGAAGTGAGAGGGAGGAGGAGAAACATTTGATTTTCATCAGTCTAACAGTACTACTGCAGTGGTCATTAGCCACTGTAAAGCCCTGAGTGGGGCTGTAGCAAACAGACCCACTTTCAAGCACTCCTGACACTGTTCAAAGAGACTTCTCTGTACAGCATCGAGCATCTGAGCCACCTGACAGAGTGTAGGAAGGAATCCAGCCGAGGCAACAGAAAGCTCTAGCTACACTAACACATGCTGCTGAGCCACAATTAGTCTGCAGAGCCCTGCTCTGCTTCAATGAACCAAGCTTGCACCTCTAAGCTTGCTCAGAATCTCCCATGCTACACAGCACTCCATAGTGTAGGCAAAACTGGAGTGAGCCTTGAGGCCAGGAAAGAACAGTGATGAGGAACTGATTTTACATTTAAAATACTAAGGCGTGAATTGGATACCAAATCAGCACATGACATGCCATCAAATTAATAATATAAATTATGAGGATACATGTTCCCCATACTCTGCAATTATTACAACAGAAAGAAATGTAACGCTTTTCCAGCTAGTGAAGCTCCTAAAGCAGGAATATTACTGATCAGAGTATTTAAGTTTTCATGTACTTTTCCAAGTACATTTTTTCTCTAATTCAGCTGTCCTTTAACCTATGGGAATGAAATTTTCTTGACCTGGTCTCTGACCAAAAAGTGTAATTTTGTTTGAATTAACACATTTCCATTATTTGGCATATGAAAGAAGTGAAGAAAACCACTTTTACCATTAGAAGAATTTTCTTGCAACTTTTCCCCAAAAAAAACATAAAAAGTAGAAAAAAAAATCAAGCACAGAGTTGAAATTTAGCATTGAAATGGCCCTCAGTAAGAAGAAGTGCTTTTGAATGTTCTGGTGCAAATTGATTTTGATTTGACTGAGTCATGAACCTTTGAAATCTGCACTTTGAGCATGCAGAGTACAATTGGTATGATTTTTTAGCGCTTTGAAATATACAGAGTGGAGAAGGTTGTGCTGTGCATAAATACATAGCTGACAGTAAAAAATAAAGTAGCCTGTCAGCTCGTGCCTCTTCCACTGTGTATCTTGTGATATGCACAGCAACTGAGTTTGGACTCTGCAAGAACTATTGCTTCAATCATGATGCCTCTATGTCGGAAGCTGCACAGCCTCTGAAGCTTTCAGGAGAAGGAATTCCCTGTTGAGTTTCTTACTTCTGCAGGAAAAGAGTCATTTGAGTAGTGTCTAGACCATATTATAGATTTTTTTTTTATGTTTTCCCCACTCAGAAGCCTTAAGAAAGTTCATTAAAAATACATTAAGAGAACATTAAAGTTGCACATCTAACCACTCAAAAGGCAGGAAATTATAATGCACACACAATTCACATTTTAAAAATTATTTAGAAGAGCTTTGTGCATTGCAGGACTCGAGTTAGAATCTGGTCCTGAATATTGATTCCCTGGGAACTGCGAGCTGTGCAGTCTATTAGGTGAAGTGAACTGAGCTCGTTAAAAGATACTGAGCATGGGCAAGTACTCTCAGTTTCAGCAATAACCAAGAACTAAAGGCTACATCCTCAAAGACAATTTAGAATCTACAACTCCCATTTAGGTACTGAAATCAATGGGAGTTAAGTGCCTGTATGCTTCAGGGTATAATAGGAGAAAATCAGGTCTATATGTATTTTGAAGGTTTATAGAGACACATTTATGAAAGGCTAAAGTTTGGAGCGGTTATGGCTGTAGGTGTCCCTGTGTTTATGTGTTTACATTCCCTAATCTACAACATATTTTCATATTGCGCTGGGAAAATCCCTTCATCAGTCCCTCTATTCAGCTGGGAACATGACACATGTCCCTAGGGGACAGCCTCTACAAGTCCATCTATTAACCTCTTGGTTCATTTTTCTTCATAATCTTTGGAGATGAGTTCCTAACTGAAGACTTCATGTGAGTATCAATATCTGATGAGGTAGTTCTCCCATCCAGTTTCAAAATAGCCAATAGCAATCTACTTGAACTAGCTCTACAGAAAGGATATACACAAGAAGTAGATGAAAAAATTACTTATAACTGCTTCCTCCCCCCCAGTAACTAGCTCCATTTTTATTACCTAGCTGTAGTCCTGGGATTTGAAACATCTTTCACCTTCTTTTTGCTCCTCAAGTCACAAGTCTTTAAACAGAAGTGCTACATGGTTTTGCATCAGAAGTAGTATCTACATAACAAGGCAAAGATCAAACACTCTTCTTCCTGGATCCAGACTTTTTGTTCACTGAAAACTTCTTTAACACTTTGATAGCTAAAAATTGACACCTTCAATTTGATATGCTGCTGTAGCTGCAGCCCAAGCAAATCCAACTGGAAAAGCAATATCCTCCAGCACTGGCTGCAGAGGACAGGTGAATACACAGCATTATGTGTGCTGTGGAGATGTTGGTTTCGTTTGCAGACAACACTTCCTGGCTTGATCACTCTTCCACCTGTTACAAGCAGATTCTATATGGAAGACAAAAATAAACTGTGCAGCTTCACACACTGAAGGGTAAGCCATGCACTTTGCATATCTCAGGATTAAAGTGGAGAGGTTCAGTCAGCTACCAGTGAAAGTGGAAAAGGCAGCAGTGGAAAAGACTAGGGTGGTCACAGTAAAAGGGCTCCTCCTAGTACAAAGAATTAATGCACAAAATAGGTCCCTCTTTCCCTTCACTTGCATCTCAACTCCCATCTCCCATACAGAGAACTTTCTGGACCCTCTGTTCAACATAATTCCTTTAGCCACCAGACATAAAATAATTTCCACCTCTTCCAGTAAACTTCAAAAAACCAGCTCCTCTTCTTTCCTGATATCAAAATTAATTTTTCTTTCTCTTCCAACACCAGGAGAGCTTGCCTGCAGTAGCTGAAAAAGGATATTTTAGCCACTACAGGTTTTGCAGTGGAAACCAATGAATAGATGAGCAAGATTTGTATGGGAGTACAGACAGAACAGCTATCTTTCTCCTTCTTTAAAACCCCGTAGATGCTCATTTTTCTAGACCAGCAATGACAACCTTATGGCATGTGTGCCAGGATCAGCATCTGCAAAACAGCCCTCAGGTCTTTTCCTCTACCTTCTGTCAGTGCTGTTACTGCTCTCCTGTCAGCAGACTGAAAAGGGAGCAGCAGCAGGAGAAGAGTCAGGTAACAAGTGGGATAGGTTGAAAGTAGTTTATTGTCCCTCTCCAGAAAACTGCAACACCTGGCACACTAGATGGCACTACTGCAAATTTTTTTAATTTTTTTAATTTTTGTTTTTACTTACTGGTGCTTTTCCCTCACTTATTATAACACTGCGTGTGCACTGCTTTTGCTGAGGTCAGTATCAGCTCATATTGGACTGCTGTAATATATGACCACAATTCTTCTTTGCTCCACTTACCTCTATCTGAGGTAAGAGAATCTCTTGATTTTAAAATCCTTCTGGGTGAGGACCTACTTCTGCAAAGCATTATACATGTAACTGACATTTTCTTTGATAATAAAAGTAAGAAACCTTACTCTACATAGGAAAGCCACTAATACAGTCAGTGCACATACTTTTGCCAAGAATGCACACAATAAAAGAATCAACCTCTTAGAAAAAAATGAATTCCTTTGTAAAGACACAGGGAAGCTGATTTAATTCCAAAACGAATATTGCAGAACCAGACAGTGCAGATGCAATGCAAAATAAATCGGGCTTTCACAGCAGGAATGTATTTCCTCAAGTGTCTTTCAGAGTAAAGGTAAAAGCCCCCTGAATACAAAGGAACAAAGGAGGAAATGAGGCACAACATACTAATTTGTTCCCAAAACACATGCTGACACATGGCCTAGGCAAACATTCATATCCTTCATGTGTATTATACAGATAATCAAAAATCAATAAAATGGACTAGTCAATGTTCTCTTGTTGGTACAGCATCCTCAGGCTTTCATCTGCAAGATAAGGACAGTTAACAGTAAAACTCACTAGGGCCACCTTAAATCATGATTAATGAGTATTAATGGACCAGAGTAATAATGCTCATTTTTTACATCATTAAATGTTACTGGTAGGCACCTTTTAAAATGTAACATTGAATCTTTTTCCTGAGAATAATACAACTCAGTTTCACAGGAGATATAATATAAATGTAACTCAGTAGTAGGGGGAGAGGGGCAGATAGGCAGATAGTAACAATAAAAATCCAATAAAAAGTTTTATAAAAATGCTTAAGTATTAAAACAAGGCTAAAAAGTGTCACTGTTGATTCCCTATCAGGAATCAACAGAGATGGGTTTTGAGAGAGACTGAGTAGGAAGAAAACATTCCATAAGCAGTCTGGGGGAGCGTGAACAAAATCTTCCTCAGAGGTTAAGTCAGATTCACAATAATGAGATCCCAGGTTATGTCAGGTAAGTAGGCAGATTCTGAAAGAACCAGGGCTTCAAAATTCCGAGAAGCTGTGCTAAAAGCAACTAAGATCAAACTTTTCTGGCAACCCGGTTTCTACATTTGTGATCCCACTTCTGGTTGTATTTCTGGATTCATAAACCACTCCTTACTGCAGTGGTGTGACTGGAAATCACATCTTCATTAGACCCTCTCCATGGCTTCTAGGATGTACCCACCTTCTTACTCTGATCATTTTCCCTACATCTAACAAATAATCTGGCCGCAATGTGAATTTTAGTATTTCACTGTCCCACTGTTTTATTGCCCAACACATACAGATATGTTTCTCTTTAGGAGAACTCCAGAGCTCTGTGTAGAGGTTCTATCTATTGATATATAGAGGCTCTATCTATTTTCCAGCCTACATTTAAGACTTTTACATCTGCACTGGCACATATGTAACCAAATGAGCTCAAGCCAAGTGTTTGTAAGAAAAAAACAAGCAGTATCCAAATGCACTTGGACAAAGATTTTTTTGTCAAGTCAATAAAAAGCATGAGTAATTGGCCCTGATAATACATGTTAGTAACTAACTTTACAAAATGCAAGATATTTTATTAAGGTGAAAGAAGAATAGATTTTGGTGTTGGACTTTCAGTCATGTGGGGCTAATTATTATCAGAGGAATTGTATCCTGTCAAAAGGAGATGTTCCTGGCTGAATTGATGTTTCCTATTATAAATATCCTATTCCTATTATTAATAGTATTTACTATGGAGTTTAGAAATTAAATTTTGAAAGGGTGGTGAAAATTAAAATCTTGTTCTTGAAATTTTAAACGATGCATGGAGCAGTAGAAAGACATACCTTCTTTGGAAGCAAGACTGTGTCTCTCAAACAGCCAAAGATAGAAGTTCGTATCTTCTGTGAGTTCTCTTTATAATTGTTACTCATAAATTTAGCTTCTCTCTGTGGCAACATAATAGAGCAGCTATTGAGAAACAAATTTACTAAAACACTTTAAAGTCTGCCAGACAAACTTGATTTTTTTAATAGTAATACAAAATTAATGAGTAGGGAGCAGAGGATATACTGTTGTATGCCTGATTTCTGCCATATACTGTTTTCTTTAAGATATTTTAGCACTGGGCTTAAGGTGTTTTAAATTAAGTTATGGAGACACCATACTGTCTTACACCGCTGCTGAACTCATAGAGAACTCATAACTTTGATTCTCTAAATTAAGCCTTAATTAGAAGCCTCTCCTGGATTGTTGATTAGCCTTTCTTCTCCCATCACCAATGTGTCAAAATTCTGTTCCCAAACTTAAATCAAATTGGAAATGAACTATCATGTTGACTGAAATGAAGGGTGATGACAAACAATGAAGGGTAATGATAAACAATAAGTTTGAAGGGAGGCATTTAGTGCAGTACACAAAGATTAGTATTACTTCGGATCTCATTTAATAGCTTCAATAATGAGCTAGAAGAGGGAGTAAATGGTACATTAATGAAATCTGCAGATCTATTAAACTAGGAGGAGCTGAGCACGCTGCTGAAAATGGAGAAATAATTCAAGGGTTCTTGGGAAGATTAGAAACACATGCAGAATACTGCAATGGGATTCCATTTCGAAAACAGATGAATAATATTTTGGTAAAAAATCAACAGATGGTAACAGGTAAAAATCTGGAGAGCTGTAATGCTGGAAGAGATTTAAAATTAAGAACATCAGGAAAAGTAGGCAGGAATCTGTAACTGAGCAATAGATAGAAATTGTTAAATTTGAGAAAAACTATTAAAGAATAAGTAAACAAGTAATGACTCATCTTAAAGCAGCTCTACAACCATCAGTTCTTTTCTGTATATAGCATGGGCATTGGAAAAACAGACTATCAGTCAGATGGTTAGAGATTTTACAGCTATGGTACTTTTTCCTGGAAGAAAACTTAAAAGTAAGCCATTCATGTAACAGTGTTGTCCTTCATAAAGTGAATGTCATAAGAGTGAGCCACTGGCTAAAAAAACATAAAAAAGCCCGAGACTGAAGAAATAAAATATTCTCCTACTGCTTCTGGTAATTGCATCATGCAGCTTGAATTTTTTGATATTCCTGAGGAAACTGCTGATGGATTGCCAGCTGCTATGAGCTTTCCAATACCAGATATATGTGCACAATATCTTGGAGACCTAAAGCTAGTTGTGAGCAAGTTAGCTGCACTTGAGGAGCTCACACAAATTAATCTTGCTTGAAATAACTTACGCAAACTATAGTGGAGGGCCAAACTAGTGTTGCATCACTCCCTGAACCAGAAAAAGTCTCAGCAATTCAGCAAGGCAACAGCATTAGGATGTATAATAAGGTTGTAAAGTGATACTCCATATTGGCCATCAGTCTTCAGAAGTCCTTGATAGCTCTTGGATGTTGCCGGCAATTGTCCTTTATTGCTGAGTGCCTCCATAGTATTTTTAAGTGGGCTTGTCTGCTCAGGAGTTTGTCACTGTCACTGCATTGTGACACAACACTGAGTGCGCAGAGCAGGGTGTTGATCCACAGCTTTAAATTTGCACACTTCAGTAGAAAACCTGGCAAAACCTTTCATGTAAAACCATGCTCTGTTTATTTCTATCTTGGCATGTTGGGCTGTTCCATACTTCTGGATCACTCATCTTTCAGGTGAACAAGCTTAAAAACAATAACTCATCAGGCAAAAATATCAGGATAAAACAGGGAAGACATACATATATATATATATAACAACACAAAAAATACCAGAAGTATAGGCAGGCCCTCTGGTCTCTGTTTGCTGAGACAGCACCCTTTCACTGGTGTCTCAGGGAAAGCTCTCTAAATTTTCCAGAAACTGAGAGTTTCAAGATGCATGCAGAACTACCTACTGGCAAACATGTTTAATATGATTTTGCAGGCAAATATCTGCTTCAACTTACCAGTTTGGCTGCAACCAGTTACAGAGACACATCTGAATGATTTCAGCTAAACTTGTTAACATTTTTTAAATAGAAGGCAAAGTGCTACACATGTTTGCAAGTGGCAAAATTTCCCTATTTATGCCTACAGATTTGTAGGCTATTTTGCAACACAGTTAATTCTTCAAAATCATGTGCACAGAATCTTCACTTAGTATACTAAGTGAATATATACACATATTATATACACATATTTAGTTTTGCTTCAAACTCAGTATGTCTCATTTTTTACACTAGGTACACTTCAAAATCCCAGCAACTTATCCTCTGGAACATAATTTAAGTGCCCATAACAAGAAGTCAAATTTGGCTCACTTGAAAATGTAGGTCGAGTATCTGTTTGTTTTGCTTTTTCTGAAACTCCTCCCATCTTAACAGGTAAATCATATTTACCCTTAGAAAATTGTCATATTACTTGGTTTTTATTGCTGTAAGATTATGATGTCTTATTCTCCCATTCTAACATTATTCTCCCATTCTAACATTCCCAACTTACATATTTCCTAGCACAGGAATATTTTTTCTTTCTGACCCCACATGCCATCAAAAAGATGTGTGCTGACATATGGCGGGGGTGGGGGCCTGAGGTGAAAACATTGCTGAGATGTTTGAATGCTTACAGGCACAATACCCATTGAAATCACTAACCAGAGCCAAACAAATTTGAAAGAAAACTGACATTTATGAGAATACATAGCTGAATAAATATTGGGGCTGCAACATGATGGAAAGCCTGAAAAGCTGGTGCAAGTACCAGGCACCAGAAACACTTTTTTTGTAAAATTAATGTGCAGGTTTTCTCACCAAACCATTAATAACCTAAAATTTCTTAACAATTTTCGGTGCCTTTTTTATTTTTTTTCTTTCAAGGTTTGGGTTGTGGTGGGGTATTTAATTTGTTTGGTTTTGGGGTGGTTTTATTTATTTTAACATAGTCATAGAATAAACCAAGAAAGGATTCTGCCCAGACCAATTTTATTTTGGGGATATATTGACAAAACAAAATTATTTCAACATTTCTAACATGTATAAAGTCCTGCTGAGTCCCACTAATTGTTTTCAGAATTAGTTGAAATAGTGCAACTAGTTTATACAGTGCTGAAACTGTATCTTTCATTTTCTTTTACTTCCAGAAATGCTGTTTCTCAAGTCACTGACTATGACTAATGACATTGACTATGACTTTAGCAAATATGCTTGAAAATTCTTCCACCAGTCAGGATTAAAAAATCCCATTATATTAGTGCATTTACATAAAATTCACTTCCCTGTATCAGCAATATAGAACCATCTACTATAAAATGGCAGCACACTATGAGAGACAGTAGTTGATATTACTTTTCAAAAGATTTGTGCTACACTATTATCCTGTAAATATTTTTTTCCTTTTGCAAGAAATACTATCCATGGTACTCCCTTTCATCCAGCAAAATAGCAATGAGCACTATTGCTTGCACCTGGAAAAGGAGATGTACAACAGTACTTTAATTTGACAAAGTAATTCAAATACCTATTTGAAATTCAGTAAACATGGGCTATTTTTCAAACAACTTGAGTTTTATGCATACCTACGCACATATATATATATACACACACACACACATATATAGTCTTCTAAACAGTATTACAGATGTGCAGTGAAATCTCAGGACAATGTTATTCTGGAAATATCACAAAACATGTGACCCTGAAGCTAATCTAATAGAATAAAATGAAAAAAAATAAAAAATCAATTTAGCTGTTTAACATAGCTTTCTATTTCTTGATTTCAACACATAAAATAAAAAAGATTAAAGGATACAGTAGGCATAATGAGGCAGCACTGACCTTTTTACCATCAGAGAGGTTGTTTCTTTAATAAAGAAGTCACACAGATAAATACTGTCTCTCATTCAATTTAAGCTCTTTATATCGTCCCTCGTATTTTAGCTTGGCATAGAGTAAAGTGAACTATGACATAGTGTAGATGAAATCATACACATTTTTCCCCTTCTGACAAAATACTTCAGAATTTTATAATCACACACAAAAAAGTGGAGTTTATGGGTAAGCAAGTCTATTTTTAGATCATGCTTCTTTGATTCTCTCTTAATTGCCCTTCAGACTAAACTGGTGAATACACCTAGTAATGGTCATTGTATGAAAGCTTTTGGCTGCTCAGTGATCAATATCCCATAGGAGGCAACAGTCAGAGCTCTGACGATGTGGACATTTGGCACACATCCACACTGAGCTCTTAGAAATGTTTTTACTTCCCCACATTCCCACGGAGGTCTGTAGAAAAGAATATGTTTATGTAATTAAAAAACTGCATCATGATCTGAGGCATAGATTGAGATAGGGGAACAAAGGCAACCTTTTATTTTCTAGCCTTTGAAAAGCAGATTTTGCAATCTACCACTATTTGGAAGAATACATGTAGCAGCTTATTAAATGTATTTAAAATCTGTCCAATGGTGGTGCTACTACACACATCACTCTCTTCTCAATCTGAGCCAAGGCAAGAAGTTGTAGCAATAGAAAGCTGTTACCTTTTATGTGGACCTTGCCATTGGTTGCAGTTGTTTCCTTGCCAGAGAGTGAGCAACTTTACATTGAGTTCCAAGTTGTCCAGCAGACTGTGCTCTACTGATTACCAATTATTTTATACTCTGTTTCTGGCCTGTTTTCATGATCTTAGCCTCAGTTTTGTTTTGGTTTGGCTTTTGCTTTTTTTTTTTAAAAAAACAGCCTTTTTACATCCTTTGGCAGTAGCAGGAGAATGACAAGGGAACTTTTGTTTGGCCTCCAAATTCTAGCATGGAGCCTGCTCCAGCTCTGTAGGAGCAGTCCAACCCAGTTAATGAAAAGATGATGGGGGCTGAAGCGCTCTCAAAGCAAACAGTATCCTTGGCAGATTACACAAGCAAATAGTAACAAGTTCTCTGCTGAGTTTATGTAATGTGTATTTCTTCTCCAAGGCTTACACTGGGTCCAAATGTATGGAAGCTTAATAGATGGGGCAAGGGAGGTAAGCTGACAAACATGTGTCATTGGTATCCCAATTATGATTCACTCCTCAGCCAGTGCCTAGAGTGCTAAAGCTATCTTGTTTCCTTTCTGCAGAAATCTCATGCTTTAGACACCTCTGATCCACATCACCCATTTGATTTTGAGACTGAGCAGAAAAAGGCAGCCAAACTTGTGGCCTGAAACAATGAAGAATAGTTGCAACGGTTATTAGATGTCTTTAATTATTTGCAAGGGCACAGCTCTTGTTTAGCCTCAGACAGGTTAGAATATGCATTTCTCAATAACCAGATGATTGTCTTAAGCAGCATGTATTGGTTATCCAATGCTGAACCCAAAAATTCCTCTTTTTTCCTTTTTCTTGGCATCCTGGGTATCGTTTTGATAAAAAATGTACCATAATTCTGCATTCTGACAAAATATCTTGGTTGTAAATCTCAGTTTTTAATGGTAAGAAAAAAATATTAAAAGTCACAGTAATTTCTTTTTAAACCTCACCTTTCCATGCTTACTGTTTTCCTCCTGTTAAACATCTCCGTTCAGAGTTTCCCAGAGTAAAGTGGAAAAAATGCAAATTCTATCGTACTTCCACAAGTAGAATACCCGAAGGTTTCCATTTTGGACTCTGTATGGACACAGGCTCTACAGACAAAATCAACAAAGGCTTTCCATTAGACATTGACAGTTGGATCAAGTCTTGGCTTTCACCAAAACAAAAAATTTGATGAACAGGAATAAAATAAAAAGAGGAGAAAATAACGTATGAATGTTATTTAAATTTTTTGTCCATCAAAATATTTTTTAACTGTAACTGATACTTTTAAAGCTACTTTTGCAGTCTTCTTTCAACATGGCTGAACTTCCACTATGTCATAGAAAGTTAATAGTTATTGCAAAAGGGATTTGGATTTTTTATTTCACTCTCCTTCTCCTATTAAAGATTAGCCAAGTCCTCATGCTGTATATAAAATTACTAAGGGCTTCCTAAAAGCTGAAGGTCTGGTATTTTTCCTGCAGTTACAGACCACAGCCCTGGATTGATGCCTTGAACAGATCCAAATATGTATCTTTCCTCACGCTTTGTGTCACCTGCTACTGGTTATAGAGCTTGCAATTGTTATCCAGCTGGATTAGTGCCTTAACCATACCTTTGCTATTCAAAGAGAAGGTTTAAAATGAATCTTTGCTCTCCTACAATAGTTCAGTGAGAATGTCAGCGTAACAGAGCAAGCTGGGAACGCTTACCTAAGGGAAGATCTGGTGATGACTATAACTTCTGTGTTATCACTGTACCTGTTTATTATCCTGGAATACTTTATAGCCATTAATTTCTCTAGGTACTGGTTTGTTCTCTAGATAAAAGTAAGGTGATAGTAATTTGAAACTTTTTCAGTTTTTTTCCCTTGAATGTGCTGAGTTTTCAAATGAAAGGCATTCACAGATGAAACAATGGAACAAGAACACAATACATAGGGAATATCACTGCCAAAAGACAAAGAATCCTTAAAAAAAAAAAAAAAAGTGTGGTCATACCAATTGTTTCCTGCCACAATACTGGAAGAATTCAGTGCAAAAGGATTATAATGCTGTTATGCACAGATCTTTGTCCCTGGAAAGACACTACACAAGAGAAAAGAGAAATGATTTCTCAGAAGCAACACAAAAGATCAATATCAGGATTAGGAAAACATTTAGATATTTCATCAGGCACATGTCATTTACAGAGGACAATACCTATCTGTACGTTCTCACATCTACTGCAGAATTACCTGGCACATTTCTGAAAAGCTAAGGAAACATGCAGATAGATGTTTACAATTTACAATGATAAAAATGGAAAACTAGAAGTTTTCTGTTAGCTTTAATTGTCTTTCATATTGAGGTACAAAGTATACCTCATATATATATATATATATATATATATATACTGAGAATACACTGAATCAAATATACAGTTCTGTTTTGTTCTAGCAAGCATGTCTGTTGGAAAGTGCAACAGAATTTGGAACTTTGTATATTCCTTCAAAAACTGATGTTAATGGAGCTTTGTAACTTAAATATTAAAATGTCAGAAGTAAGACCAAAATCATGTATCTCAGTTCTGCAGTAACCTGCAGGTACTGCTGAGTGGATGCTGAAATATATCTTCTCATCCATCACTTTGCAATAGCAAGTTTCCTGTACTAAATTTATTTTGTATCTTAAAAGTTTAAAAGTTGGATGATTGCCTATTAAAGCAAATACTATAGAATCTCAGCTTCTATGGAGAAGGAAATATTAAAGACACGTGTTCAGTACACAACCAACTAAAATACGAACACTGTAATGACATTAGAGATTACCTTTGTATTATTCAAATTTTTCCTGAGAATCTGTAAGGGAAAGAGGTGATTTTATAAAAAGACATAATTATATCCGCTTTTGAAGAGAACTGTGATCACAATCTACTAAGAGGATGGATAAGTACTTGACTATGGGACTAGAATTTTAACAGAAGTGACAAACCTATCGGAAAACAATAACTTTTTCATTGGACAGCATCAAAAAACTGCTATGATTTTCCACTGTGGCTTATCTCTGTTGCTGCCCACCTATAGCACTTTAAAATGTGTTCTCTTAACAATCATTAAAGCTTGAATAATATGTTTGCATAGTTATTCATCGCTAAGATAAATTAAGGAAATTTTTGTTTCAGGTTGGAAAAAGCAAAAAAAAATTGTTTGGTTATTTGATAATAATTCAGGGAATTCTATGGAGTAATGCCATTATCACACAGCATCTAATGCTTGTAACCTCCCATGAGTTCACTCATTCTGCTCAGGCAGGCATTCTGCAGGCACTGTGTCTCTTTATGATTCCTTGACCATGGTGCAATCTCTTCTGGGTGCTTGTCTCCCATGAAATGCCACTGCATCATTTAGTGAGATAAATGCTTACATGTACTTATCCTGAGACAGGAACCACATCAAGAGGGGAGGAAATAATTCAGTTTTCCAAACATTGGAAATTTAATTTGTTTCTTTAAGCTCTGTTTCTTTCAACACAAGGTCCATACCATTTAAAAAGAAAGACAGCTTGGATAATCTGTATAAGTCTATCAAATAGGAACACACTGGTAAAATGCACTGAAAAGAGCATATCTCTACTAAGTGTTCTCTGAGATAAATTTCAAAGTTTTCAGGTATGAGTCTTGCTTAAATCTCTGTAAGAAAAAAATCCATAACCCTTCATGTAAGGAAAAGCAAACTGTTACATGACTTAAGATCACAAAACCGGATGATTTTTTTTCCCCCTCAAACTTAGTAAGTGAACTAGGATAAAATTGACCTTTGGTCAGTGATTATATCTGGGAAATTTCAGCTGTGAAGGTGAAAGTTTGACAAAGTCATAAATAGCTGAAAAGGACAGAAAGGAAACATTTAAAAACCCTATAAATGTCACTCTGCTCTCCATCCGGAATACCATTGCTGGTACTTTTACAATGCAGTACAGACAGCAGACTAAGGTGATCAATGGAACAACAATATGTCTTAAAATCTGTCTTAAAAAAGAGGACAAGTATCATGAAGATTAGAGATGAGATCATGGATCATCCAGAAGACCACCTGCAAAAGACTAAGACAAAGAAGAAAAGAAAGTCGGTTTTAGTCAGCTTCAGTTTCTTGCTGGACTGACCTTTGAACCACTAAGTCATCAGTTTCCAAACTGTTTTACTTGCCAATTACTCAGCAGAACATGACATGATCAATGATCTGAAAGTTTTCAGCTGGTTGTATTGATCAAATATATAAACAAAACACAACTGTCAGCTGCTTTGAGTTTACTGCTGATGAAGTGATGTTTGAAACAATTAATGAATTAATGCTCAAACACAGATGAAAAAAACCTTAGCTGATATAAAAGAGGGAAAATGTTTACTACTCAATTAATTTGCTTTTTAATTGATTTTTTTAATTGTTTGACTGGCAAAATAGAAATGTGAGCTATAATTACCAGCTACCTCTAATAGCTTTTTTTTTTTTTTTGATTTCTGTTAATTATTTCTAAAGTGAAGGAAGCAGGATTGCTGGTGTTGCCTAACCCTTTTCAAATTATTGGTGCTAAAAAAGTAAATATCAGAAAATGCAAATTATTACAAAATGTGAAGGTTGATTGCTTTTTGTAAAAAAACAGGCAGATGAGCAAATGCTATGAAATGCTGAGGCAGGGCTGGGGAACACAAAGGAGTTATGGTAAACTAATGAGCTTCCAGGTGTTGGCTGAGCTTGGGTAGCCAGTAATATTTGCATACTTAGTCTGGAGCAAATCTGAAACAAAAGGTGTTGGATAAATCTTCAGAGAAAGCACCCTCTGTTAGCAGGACCAGCCCCGAACAAGAGTCAAAGTTTGCAAAGGCACACCACTTTATGAAGAACAACTTCCTTCACTTCACTCCTCCTTGACCTACTCTGAAAATAGGAACAATTTCAACTTTTAAAGGCGGTAATTTAATTTCCTTCTGACAGCAACAGAATGATCCAGGACTCAGTACTATCTTGCCTTTTCAGAAGAAGTGTCTATAAAACAGGGGTTGCTTTCAAAAAGAGACTTGGAGTCAAATTCATTATTGGTCTTCTGGAAAATGTAATTTATGTCCTGCTTAGCCAGGTAAGATGGGAGGCAATCTGGCTGTTAGAAAATAAGGAGCTGAGTTAAAGAAAATGGAAGGGGAAAGAATTAAGAATGAAAAGACTACTATTTAAGGAAAGGGAGAAAACTGAGAGATTAATTTACTGTTAGTTCCATTTTATCTCTTGTAAGTACATTTTTTTAATTCTTTAAATCAAAGTTCTTCTGCTCTATGTGTATTGCCATTATTTCCCTGGAATTGAAAATGTCTGTTTTGTTCAGCAAGTGCATGTTAGAAATCTTGTGCTATTAAAAGATGGTGCCAATGTTAACTATTATACAAAGGATTAAATCTTAACTAAGAAGTATTAAAAAGTGACTCTATAAACCTTTAGGTTATTGGTACTTAAAGATTTTTCAAAGAAAGGAAGACCAATATGAGGGATTAATAGTTAAGGTTATGCAAAATCCACTTAATCAGCATGGCTAATTTTAGCTTTGACTAAAGCTGCTGGCAACTTTGTGTATTTTGCTTTGGGGCTTTACTTTTGAAAAGAGTGATGAATATATTTTTGAGGTAAATTTATCTTAACTGAAAGTCTACCTAATGCTCTTTAATTGCTGAAAAAGTGATTTTAATGGCATTTGCATTTAGGAGAGGAAGAAGATCTTCAGCTGTGCATCTTTAAGACCTTAAAATAAGCATTTTATTTTCACATTTATATAATATACTGCTTGACTATAAAACAGATGAATTTTATAAACAATACAGTCATCAACATGGGCATTGCTTATGAAGAAATAATTGTCCTCCTGATAGTACTTACTCTATTCAGAAAAGAGCCTAGGAAAACTATAGCATACTCTGAAGGTACAAATAACATGACTTGCCAAACTAGCTAGGGTACAAATGCTGAGAATGAGAGTCTTTCATTGACAAATGCTACCTAAGCAAGGCACATGCACAGTGTCAGCTCAAGTAGCCCAGGCAATTTCAACCACATATATAAACTTGCTAATACTTACAGCACTTTTACCTGGCTCTAAAATCACAAAGGATTAGATCCTTCAACATGAAGTGGATTAAATGTGGTTATGTTCTCAGCTTAAACCAAACTGTATGAATACAAACTCTAAGCAGAGAGTGAGCCTGTTCTGTGAGCCTCAGATAAAATCTGACTGAATCTTAAACCGGTGGGGTAAGGTGTTGAGAAAGCAAGGGCTGGGTATTTGCTGAAGCCAACTTCACAAGGCTGTCAAAAATCTTGTCGGAGGAGCTACCTTTATATTACAAAAATTAAAAGCCATGGTCATAATTCCATAGTGGATGATAAAGGGCTTTACCTAGTGGAAAAAGTGGGTAAACCTAGTAAAATTAGACTATTGATTTACAATTATGTGAAATGTGGGTAAGTGTACCTACGTTAGCAGATTGTAATTATTCACACAAACAAGGTAACGTTGTGTTAAAACATACGGCAAGATCCTAGCATACTAGTATAGAATAATTTATCATAAATTGAAGTTTCATTAGGTACTTTCAATATTACTTTTTTATCAGTATCATTAATTAATTAATTAATTGAAATTCATGGAGCTTTGCTTCCCTACACCTGCTGTCATGGCCTGAGAAGATCATTCCACCTTCCCCTTCTCTTACCATTTTCATGATACTTTTTCGGTGGAATCTGTTTATCAGCTATAAAGGCATGATATACTGGAATAGATTCAGTGCATCCAGCTATGTGAGTATTCTGTGTGTGGCAATGATCAGCATTTTCAGAAGGAAGCACACAAACTCCCAGAGAGCAAATTAACTTTCAGCCTATGCTTAGGGCTGGAGAAGGCTTAGGCACTTTGTACCAAAGCAGACAAGTGCGTGAAATTAAGTCAGTTCACTCTGTCTAAAATTAGGCAAAGTGAGTAACTGAACAAAAGGCACTTTGGGGAAACAGAATCTCAACCTGTCAGAAGCTTTTCCTTCCAGTAGAAAATTTACTCTGTAATGAAAGTTGTGATTAGCTTTGTATACTTACAGAGACTGAGTTTCAGCTAACTAGTTGATGTGCTGATAGCACTGTTATTTTGATAGCAATTGTGCAATTGACTAAAGACATAAATAGCTGGGTGGCAAGCTTGTGCCAATCTTGGTGCTGCCATGGCCACATAGCTACACCCAGCTGTGTTATGAATTGTATCTCCTACAGGCAATATCTGCAAGAGCTAGTATTGTAGGGTTTTTTATTGTTACAGGGTTTCTGCATGTCTTGGATGTATGTCCCACAAGAAGCCCCTGCATGGCCAGGTTAGAAAAGCTGTCTTTCAGATTGCAAATGGCAATTAGATTGACTAGAGCAAATGAAACTACATACTGTACTATTTCCCCTGGTTAAATTTCATCCAGTAATAAAATTCTACCTTTTTAATATCTTCCTGCTCCCACCATCTAGTCTTACTCAGATATTGTCTTTGATTCTTGGTTTTTTTTTTGCATGGTAGACCACTGCATGGTACTCTTTGCTACACCTCAGAAGCTGTACCTCTTTGATTTGAAAAAAAATGTTGGTAGAGATTTGTAGGAGGTATGTCTTTGCAAATGAATTATGCTAATAGTTGAATTAAGAATGTTCAAAGTATTAACTTTTCTGTTTTTCATTGTAGACTAGCAGTTGGAGAACAGTAACTATGAGCAATAAGAATCTGATCCTGGAATTTCCTATACAGCTGTAATTAAAATTTTTTTCAGCTTTGGAGACTCACAGGC